GTTTAACGTTATATTCGTTGCATACATATACTTCGTAGTAGACATCCTTAACTCCATTCTGCTGTCTGTTGTTCTGTTGTCCTGTTTCATTGTCTGAATATGGCACTTATCACATGCTGTGTGGTATCGGCGTTTGGTATCGGGGCATTTTAACGAGTACAAGTACGAGTACAAGAGCTCAGTATCGGGCCCGATACCGATACCAGTATCGGTATCGGTGCATCCCTAGCAATTACATTATTTTCCAAAATCGTTCAGCCCTAGTGTAAATGATGAGATTGGGTACTGCAAAAACATGAACAAATGATTAAGTGATTTGTAAAAGATGTGAAAATAGGGTGAATTCCGGTCATTTGGGACACTTTTTGCCATCAAAATGACTGCTCATAAAAGGTACTAATGATTAGTAAATGTTTATAAACATTTACAATTTATGAATAGTTTCCACTTTAGATTGGGTACTGCAAAAACATTAACAACTAATTAATAAATTAAGATGTGCAAATAGTCGAAGTCTACACCACAAACAAAGACCAAAAATATGACCTTTACAGACTGATTATGAGATAATGAATATATTAACATTAATAGTTTGTGTTGTGTTTAAAATGACTAATTAAGCTATATTTTCACAACATTTGTAAATGTAAAAATGAGCATTATCTAATATGTGAACTGAAGTTTAATGACATTTGTAAGCATTCAAAAGTACATTAACAAATAAGCTTGTAAATATTGTATAATTTCTGTAAAAATCATTTGTAGATCTGTATCCTCTGTATTTCCATTTGGTGGACTTTGGACTGTCATTGATATTTTACAATTGCAAAAGGACAATGAACTCTACAATGCTTCAATACAGCGCCCAAGACAGATATATGGAAGCTTTTGTCAGAAATTTCATCTTTGTTCTTTTTGGGATCATAATTAACTCCATCAATGGAGTATTTGTGTTTACATTCTTTAGGAGTTCAATTTTCTACAATGATCCAAGATATATATTATATATTCACTTGGTTATTAATGATATGCTCATGGTTTTTTTTTCAGTGTAACTCTTTCTGTGATGGCTTATGCATGGCCGAAGGTTCCTTTCCCGTTTTGTGTCACCCTGCTAATAATAACTGCAACTACTCATAAGAACACTCCTCTGACTTTGGCCGGTATGGCCGTTGAGCGTTACATTGCCATCTGCAAACCACTGCATCACCATCAGATCTGCACAGTGCGCAGGACCTACATCCTCATCTCTCTGATTTGGGGTGTAGGAGTCATACCTGGATTGATTGACTTGATTCTCCTTTCAATTGTTCGCCCTTTATCTGTGTTTTCAACAAGTGGTCTCTGTAGTACAACTAATGTGTATAGCACGCCGTACCATGAG